CGCCTGGTGTGTGTGAGTGCTCACTGACGTGTGCCTGGCTAAAGGTCTGCGCTGATTGGCCTGATTTACTCAATAATTACTCCTTTATTATAAATAATAGAAAAAAATGGTTCAGGACTTTTCGACTCAGTTTTACTCCTTCTACCTGCTTACGAAAGATTGTACGGCAATTCTGGGACACCCTGTATATATATGTATATACAGGGTGTCCCAGAATTGGTGTAACATCTCTCGTGAACAAATAGAAGAAGTAAAACTGAGTCAAAATGTCCTATACCATTTTGCTAGATTTGCAATAGTTACCGAGATCTTAATTAACAAAGATCAGCGAATAAGCATGCATCGGGCTGTCTTACGCGCGTAAGATAGCCCAGTGCGCTTCGCGCGCTAACGGTGTTACCCATAGCGACATATGGGAGGAGCTAATATAACAGCATATACTGTAACATATACATATTAAAATGTAATTGTGTGAAGCGCGCCGGGCTGTCCTACGCGCGTAAGACAGCCCGATGCACGCTTATTCGCGGATCTTTGTTAATTAAAATCTCGGTAACTATTGCAAATCTAGCAAAATAATATAGGACTTATCGACTCAGTTTTACTCCTTCTACCTGTCTACGAGAGATGTTATACCAATTCTGGGACACCCTGTATATATATATACATACATTATATACAATCAACTAATACAAGTATAGTTCATTAATTATATAATTATAACTAATAATCACTAATGTATAATTCTAACTATAAAGCTGATTAATAAGTTAATTGATAAATATTAGCAGCAAAGTTCAACGAAGTACTGTGTCATTAGAAAAAATTGTAAATTTAATACCTAATATTGTGTACAAAAATGAATCTCGTTTTTTTGTAAGTTAAAGTATATAAATTGTATAAGTAAATAACATGTGTAAAAAAACGCGTGTATATCGTACTATCTTTCTGCCATCTTTGTGTACATACAATGCGAAAGTGATATTATAAAAATAAACATTAGATTATATCACTTAATATAAAAAAATAATCTGTTAAGCTATATATTAATTAATGAATACATAAATGTTTTATATCATAAAAAGTCATCGTCTTTATTATCAAAGTTTTACATACGCTTACTCAACTCATTTCCACAGAAGGTAATAAAGACGTGTATGTAAATCTTTTTCGTGTTATATAAATTTATTTACGTTGCGTAGACACAATCAGTGTGTACACGCATACAATCTTATTTATAATTTACATTCCTTCTTCTCCTTTTCTTTTTTGTATTTATTACATACATATGTATATGTGTACATACAGTAAAGAGCATAACTGAACCAATAACCACAAGTTTTGTATAAATAATTATTTAGTGTTAAGAACACTAACGAATATAAAAAAATAAACATTACATATATTTTTGTCACAGTTAGAAATAACATAAGAAGTTGTTTTAACAATACTTACTGTCTTTAACATAAAATCAAAGATGTTTTTTCGGGTTTGAACCGCGTTAGTGTCATTTTTATACCAACGTTTCGTGAACATTACAGCTCACTTCATCAGGGTCTGAGCAGCCTGATACTGAAATGCTCTTGGTCGGGTGTCCTTTTTTATAGCGCTTTGTATGTTAATACTACACACCGCGAAAGCATCAAATATCAGACTTACTGTCTTTTTATTTATTAATAGCAACAAAAATTGATTGACTCGGTTTTGCACCACGTTCAAAATTCGGCAGTATTTATTGTTATTTATTCTTAATACTTTGTCCACAATCCTTTCGCTTGCAAAACTGCATTAATTCGATTCGGCATATTCTCTATTAAATTTCTGCAATAATCTGGAGATAGTTGTTCCTACTGTTCTTTAATCCTAGTATACATTTCTGTGATCGATGTTGGTTGAGAATCATATGAATCCCGCATTCGCCTTTTTAATAAACCCATAGATTTTCTATGGGGTTAAGGTCAGGGCTCTGTGCAGGCCACTCCAAACCAGAAAATTTTTTAGTATCAAATCAATTTTGTACGCTTTTAGCTGTGTGCTTGGGATCACGGTCATGCAATGAAAATTACATTTTTTCTTCAAAAGGCATATTTTCAACAGCATCTAAAAGATGTTCTTGTAAAATATTCTTGTATATGTTTATGATGCCATTAATTCGATGCAATGAATCAACACCGAATGCTGTTAGATCTCCAAAACATTATGGATCCGCCTCCATGTTTTATTGTTTGCTTTACGTGTCGCGGTTTAAGAGTTTCATTTTTACAAATCTAACATCAGAAATACCATCAGAACAAATTCTATTAAGTTTGGTTTCATCTGACCTGTTTCTGATGACTCGTTTCCATTCAGCAATTGTCCAGTTTTGATAGTTTTTGGCAAATTCCAAATGATGTTCAATATTCTTCTTTGATAACATTGGCTTTTTTATTTTCTTAATACTTTTAAGATCAGCTCTTTTAAGAGCTCTTCGAGCCGTCCACTTATGCGTATATTTGTGTCTTCCCTGAATAATTCTGCAGTCATACTGGCACTTGAAGCTTCACCAGATGTGATATAACGTACAATTCTTCGTTCATCTTGCGGTGATAATATTTTGGGTCTTCCTCGAATGTTCAATAATTTATTTTTACAATATTTTTTCTTATTCTTTGGACTGCTGATTGACTAACACTACATTTTTCTGCAACTTGACGCGTTGACAAACCGTCATTAGGTAGAGAAGTGGTTTTTTAAATAATACAATTTAAAGAAATTGGCTTCATACTTATTATTATTTTATTCGTGTCTTTTCATTTGGCTGACTGCGAGGAATTGAATGCTAAGACGTAAGGTTATATAATGTAAACACATGGAACAGCTAGATGTAAACATGTTGCTAGAACATTTGATGTAAACATTTCATTTATAAGGTGGTGTGAAACTGAGTCAGCTATGTTTCTTTATTATATTTAAACAAAACGCTCTTTCCAATCCGTAAAAGTATCTTACATAAGCTAAAACTAATATGTATATATATACAAAATTTATTTTTTGTATCACGTATTATTTGCAGCAATAAATAATGATTTACTAAAAATTTCTTACCATTGGTTCAGTTATGCTTCTTACTGTATATATATATATCATTGCATTGTATATATATATATATATTGTGTATATATATATATACATATATGCTTCTTACTGTATATATATATATATATATATTTACATGGTAATGTGTATCATAGTATACACATACTTTTATAGTACTTTATTATTTGCACAAAATAGAAAAATTATAGAGAGAAAGGCGAAATCACGCAATATATTCGGCTCCACCTTTCTCTTTCTTCATCTTACTCTATGCACACATTCATCTATTCTTAATAAAAAAACCAAGTATCCCAACCTTGTTGTTCTCGAATGTACAAGTAAATATATGATCGAGAACCAAAGTACTAGATTGTACATGAAAAATTAATTAAAACTATTTATAATTTTTATAATCCTGAACTGATAGTCAGTTGATCTATTCCTGTGAGATTCCTCTCTCCCCCAATATAAGACAATCAATCTGTTTGCATAGGTTCAAAACTAAATCAACCTACAGACTTTTGTGCTATCACTCAAACTGATGAATGTAAATGCAATGATGTTCTTATAGCATGATAAAATCATAAATACTCAGTGGTTTTACGCAGCTTTGTTTCAGAATAAAATAAATATGTATGAAATTTTTCTGTGCCAAACAATGCCGCGCGCGTTCTTATATCGAGTACAAAATGCACGGATATAACACACTTATTGTAAGAAAGTTTTTTCTCTTTAAAACTAGCAAGGTTGTGTTGATTCCGGACTACGTTCCAAAATCTTGCTTTCTGAATAACTTACTTTCTAAATAGTTAACAATATATAATTTTTTTCTCGTGTACATATAAATATATATACATACAGTATAATACACAATCATTTAAATCTAATATAAATTCTGACCCGCACTTGAGTTATCTATCTCTGAATATATGGCTGCGTTCCGATATTCACCGCCAGTAATGAAAATCTATAGAATACGTGAAGTATAGATGTTTAGTATAGGCAGTGAATCTTGGAACGCAGCTTATAAACACACAGTTAAAAAAAAAACAAACAGAAAAACAAAAAACAAAAAAAACAATCAAAACAGAAAAATATTTTTATACGTCTTTACAATAATTTTAAGAAGACAAAAAATGCGTTTTATTTAACATATTTCGAAGAAAAACTCTTAAAACTTAAGTAGAGAACATCGATGTTATACGATTTTAAATATTGTATGTATTAATATAAAACAAGAGTTACTATATTTAAAAGAAAAACGCATGCAGGCGCGAAAAGAGTTTCACTTGATTTTTCAGCGACTCGTCATAAAACAAAAACATCTCACTCCGAGTGATTGGCAATGTATTAAAGAGAAAGAAAGGAAGTTCTAGGATTTGTGATCATGTGCCAATTATACTTCGCTTGTCACATACATACACTAATGGAAGGCAGAGAAAAAGAAACTGTCTCACAGATATTTTTCTACATAGTTTTCTCTGTTGTTTTACGGCACAGCCTTTTTAATACTTTAACTGTTTTCTTTCTCTCTCGCGCGTGTGTACATGTTCACTCTCACTCTTCATTGTGCATGAAGCATTTTCTCGGTAATAATGTCATCGAATATGTTTACTTTGTGTTTTTGGATCACAATATTTACCGCTTGATTGTACAAAAAATACATTTTCAGAAAAAAACTTGTTTTATTATAAAAAGCAATAAAGAATAAAAGGTGACATCGCGCGCAAAGTTACGTTAAATTGAATTCAGGGAAGAAATGAACATACATAACAAATTCTCTCTTTTGTTCACTCACTCTCTTCGTATTGTAAGAAGTAAAGAACTATCAATCAGATCTGTTTGGCAGTGTTGAGAAACTTATTGATTTAAGACATGTGACTTGTTAGATTATCATATCGAGTCAAGGAACTAACGGAAACACTAATATATTTCATGGCATGCTTAGATATTTCTTTTAAGAATGGGAGGATAGTGCGAAAAGTAGAATAAACGGATATATGTTTCAAATCTTTACTGCGGTCAGTTTGCCGAAAATAATGTAATTCAATATCTCGACGATGTAAGAAACCTATAACACGATTTTTTTGTACATCTAACTTATTTGTAACACGGTTTTTGACTTAAACTCAAATTGTCGTGAAATTATATTTATCTGGTAAATTAAATGAGCGCAGTTTTACATTATCAAAGATCACAAAATGCATACAAAATGATAATTTAGATGTTGTTATTCGAAATTCAACTTAACCCAAATTTAATATACAGGGTGAGGGAAAAAGTTAATATCCTTGAATAACTCGAAAAACACAAATTTTATGGAAAACTGTTTTAAAGTTGTAGAGTGTAAAAAGATCCATTTTACTGATATTAATTTAACCTTCGCCAAAGTCAGAACAAGGTCACTTTAAATTTTTTTTAATTTTTAACCTACACACTTCATAAGAATCACAGCCTACACATGGGGTATGGTCTACCTCAGCCACTAAAATGATCATCTAACTCACTGAAATCATTATTATAACTCAAAAAAATTTATATACACTATTTGAAGCATCTAAAAAGAGACGTCATAGATTTTTTTAATGATTTTTCAATTTTAAGTTAGTGAAAAAAATTCTTCCAAAAACCACTCACAAAAATGGGTTTTTTTTACTAAAACTTTCATAACTTTTTCAATTTTGACGTTTTTAAAACTTCTTGTGGGATTTTTCTCTTGAGATGCAACACTTTCAAGAAAAAATTAGCCCTATAGTGAGTTTTTCAAAAAGTATATCTATTTTGCACCATGAAGTAAACAGTTTTATGCAAAATGAAAAACGTACGGTTACATGATAAATGAACATTATGTCTTTTCAGTATTGACGTAACTTTCAGCAAAACAACTAGTCTCCCTAGTTGTCATTATCGACCATAATATCGTCAATATAACATGCGGATGTGAGTCATTTTAAGTTTTTATCCACTGATGATTTTAAATAAAATCAAAACGTTTGAGATTATTTATTTGTAAAAGAATTATTTACTTGGCAAATCACCCAGCCATCCAGTTCAGTAACGCCGTCATATTTATCTCATTTTTTGGATTTCCACACTGAACCAGTGATAATACTACTCATCGTCATATCATTGTTAATTATTTCTTTTATTTAACGGTCGTAACCCATTATAAATATTGCAATTATTTGTCAAAAGTATAAAAATATGAAAACATGAAGACCAATACATTTTTTAGTAGTCAGAATTGAATTATTATTTTTTAATCTGTACAAGCACAATCAGTGCACAGCGCTGAACGGTGGTCATCGCACATATAACGCCGGCATGAAGGGCATCGTTCTTGTTTTTTTATCTTAAGAAAATTTTTTTTATCTACACGTAACATTATTCGAAAGAAAAATAAACAAAAAATTGATGTACAAAATATGAAATTTTATAAGCAAAACATATGTACCCTACATTGGGTAGCTCCTACTCCAGAATTTCGAACTATCAACTTCTCTCGAATGTCAAGAGCAAGCTGACGCTCCGTGAGTAAGCCTAAGTGTTCCAACACATCTCGATAACTGATAAATAGCGTCACAAGTATGATTTTAAACGATTTACGTAGCTAAATTTTCGTACGAAAAGTGCCTGGAGTAAATTCTACCCTAGATGTAAGTAGGTTAAGGGTTAATACATATTCTTTTAGCCTTTCTTTAAAGCACTATAATTTTATCCGTTAAGTAAGATGTTATCAAATTTTTTGGTATGGTAAGATGTATAGTTCACGAAGGCAAGATCGGAGGATGATCCAGACAATGAAAATAAATTCGGCATGCAATCTCTTGTCTTCATCGGGCGAATAGTGCTTTGATTTTGCCGGTCTTGCCTTTATTGGCTGGATCATGCCGATCTTGTCATTGTGAACTATACATCTTACCATAAAAAGTTCGTCTTACTTAACCTGTAGAGAGCCAGCATTTTTCCTTTAAAATATTGAATTTTTTTAACGTAAAATGTATGCATATATAGAAGACAACCTACATGTTGCGCAAAATTTCCGAGTTGGTTGCTGGCCACTATAGTAGCCAGAGCAGCCCTTAACGGTATAGCCAATGTTGAAAATTTTCAAAATTTGAATTTTAGCAGCCCTTAACGGTATAGCCAATGTTGAAAATTTTCAAAATTTGAATTTTAGCGGTTCTAAAGGTTTTTGATATCGCTAATTACGATTCTGATTTTAAAAATTCAAAGCGATCTTGTTCCGACTTTGGCGACACCATCCAAGGTCAAACTGATAATGTTAGTAAATGAATATTTTTACACCCTACAACTTTTGTCCAAAACATTTTTCTATAAAACTTATATTTTTCGAGTTATTCAGAAATACTGATCTTTTTTCCCCACTCTATATGTAATTCAGTTGTATAAAAGAATTTACAAAAATTAGAACTAAACTGAACTGAATCGGTTTTTATTTCGATTTCTTTAAAGAAATTAAAACTTTATACTCAACATGCGCAAATCTACATTAAAATAAAGATATTATTTTTACACATTTAGTATTTCTATGCAATTGTAAGATTCTATGATTCCGCATGATGATAAATTCTCCTCGTATTCTAGTTTCGCAATCGTATTTCCTCTCTGTCATAGCATACATATCTAAGGAATATTATCATTCTCGCTTGAAAATAGAAGAAAATTCACGTTCTTAGCGTATTCCTTGCTTGAGAATTCCAACAATTGTCGCAAATGTTGTCTCATTATATTATAGCAGAAAATGATATATCGACATATCAATACAAGTAAGTTAATTGACATGATATTATAAATTAATACGACATAATTTCAAGAGATTATCATCCTCGATGGGTTTTATAATCAATCGATATCAAATATGTAATAATAAGATTAACAAAGAAAATACACACAAGAAATACTATGCAAAAACAAAACATGCTTTCCTGAAAATATGCATATCTCGCATTTCTGTGACGAGTGTTTTGCATCCTGGTGAATTTTTCTGTCCTAGAATGTTAAAAAAAAAAAAAACGTTTATCTTCTTAAAATTTAAGTAATCTTCATTTGCCTAAACCGACCAGAGCTTCATCCATAAGTTCGTCGTCGGTAATACAGGGCGACGCAGAGGAATGAGGGGAGGGAGGAATTACTCGGGGACTCGGAGCTGGACTCTTGACAATGTGCACACTAACAGACGGGCTGGCAACAGGTGGAAAAGGTGTCGGCAATGGTGGTGGAGGAGGCGGTGGCGGTGGAGTGTTACGTCGAACCACCGGCGCCGTCTGCGTTATCGCTCTTTCCGAGATCGTCGTTAGATGATGCTGCGTTAGAGTCGCTGGCAGACTGTGACTCTTCGTTATTGAGTCCTTGTTCGCCGTGGAAAAGTCCAACAGCATCTCTGCCGCGACCGTCGTTTCTTGTTCGCCACCGCCGTCTGATGATGTCACGACAATACTCGAATTGCCATCGGACACAGCCGCAATACCGCTTAATGACGAAAAGATGGACGAAGACGAGGAGGATGACGGCACGGTGCACGTCTGCTTCTTTTCATCAGTTATAATTTTGTTGTACTTGGCCTGCAGAGCGGCCTGGTCAGCTGGTTTTGTGCTTAGATTCAAGCTCTCGACGACAATAGAACTGCCAGTCGACGATGTGGACGAGATGCCGGAACTCGTAATCGGCGTGTACGTTTTGGACGATGACGTCAACTGATCCGATATGTTGCTTTTGGATAACATACCTCCGTTCGTGTCGTCGACTTTGCCAAGAAATTGCTGGCTGCTCGACAGCTGTCTCATACTTAAATCTTTGCAGGAGTCACGAGATGACTCGTCATTCACAAGTGACTGAATGCACAGATTGGTAGGCACGTCCGAGTCAGCAGTTGATTGTAGGGGCAACATCAGACCACTGACATTTTCGACCAAATTCAGAGATATTGCACCCGAGGCGGAAGTAGTAATTGACAGATTGTCTGGTTTTGTTTGCGAATGATCGCGTCTTGATTGGTCGTCCGACAGAGACTTAGATACTGACACATTAGACACACCGGCAACCTTGCCAGTTTCTGGCTTTAGACCGTCGAGAGTTTGTTTGGTGGAATCAGACAGAATTGGCAGCTTGTCCGAGGATTTATTTTTATCAGCGTCTGCGACATTCGCTCGAGCCGACAACTTTGGTATCTGAAATCTAGTGTCTAATTGCTTCAGACCTTCCATCACCAGTTGCGGAGGTAAAGTCGACGGTAAGTTAGGAATCGACGCGTGCGCAGCTAACAATTTGAAAGCTCGCTCACTGTCGCTTTCTTCACGCAAAGCGGATGGACTCGATTTCCTGGCGTCGCTCAAACTCTTCGATGTAAACACTCCCTTATCATTAGACTTAGGAATCCTAGACTTATCACGAGCACGACTCAGATCGGTCGCACCGGAACTGCTTGTCTTCGGCGAACCAGAAGACTTTGCTGAACTCTTCAGTGAATTCCCCCCAATGTTTCCAGTTGTAATCACACCTGCAATGTTTGTACCGCTACCAAGATTCGGCGAGCCCGAAGAAGAAATAGCCGATTTCATACCGCCAGCGGCTAACATCATCTTTGTGGATAATAATTTCTGCGGAGTCTGCAGCGTCTGTGGCTTCTTTGACGCCGGTCCAGAATTCACGCCAGGCTTGAGACCCGTGTGCGTTTTCGGTGAACCATTACTGCCACCAATCATGGATGAAGAAGTCACCGACGATGAAGAGTTTGAAGAGGTCGTAACCGCTAGTGTTCCCGATGATGAAGACGACAGCTTCAGATTAGTTGTCGACTGCTTAGAATCCTTGGTGCGAGTTTTGTTAATGGTGATCTTGATACCATCCGAGCTGTGCTTTACCATGTACTCGGACGCCGGATTCTTTGTGTCTACAGAGTTTTTGGTGATGCAGGAAGACTTTCCTCCTTCAACGACAGTTTTGTTGCTGCTCGATGACGACGAACCGCTGCCAGTGCTCTTCTCTTTCTGTCCACCGCTCATTCCGCTAGTACTGACACCGCCAACGCTCGAGGAACCGGTATTACTTCTAGTATTGCCACCGCCATTGCCGCAAGCGTCAGATTCGGTGCAATGCTGAGCGTTTTTGAGCTTGTCAATTACAGCATTGAGAGAGCTCTTTCTATTTCTCGCTTGCTGAGCTGCGATTGCGGATTTACTCGCGGCATCTATCTGTCCGGAAGGCGGAGTGTTGCCGCCGCTATTGTTGGAGGACTGTAGAGAAGAAACCTGCGCAGTTTCGACGCTACTAGAGGATATCATCTCCAATTGCTTCAGTTTACCGCTGGAAGAGACTTTAGTCTTAGGGCTCTGGTGACCAGTCGAGCTGCTGGAAGAACTGACGGATGACGTTCTTCTTTCTTTATCGCCGCGATTAGAGGAATCTTTACTAGAGGAAGACGAAGGTTTGACTTTGGACGGAATCGCCGTTGCGTCGGAAGAGCCACTACCGCCGCTCTTGCTGGATGGCGAGTTCGTCGCTGATTTCAGAGCGGACATGCTCGGCTTGCCGCTGCTGGTCGAACTGCCGTGCTTTGGTGACGAAGTACTGCCGTGTTTGGGACTTGCATTTGCCGGCGCTGGAACTGGCAGTGATACCGCCACAGACGGTATATTGCCCACCGTGTTGGACACTGTGGAAACCGAAAGCGACATCGAAACCGACATGGAAACTACTGGTACGTTCGGCACATTGTGTTTCGGACTGTTGCCATAGACAGGCGAATGTTTCGGACTCTGCACCGACTTGTTGCCGCAAGCTGTCGACTGACCGGTCTTCAAGGTGGGACTAGACTTACCTACGAGCGTAGCGAACGAAGTTGCATGTGTCGGTGACAAGCTAAATTTTCTCATGGCCGCAGGTGAAGTAGGTCGCGATGATGAACAGTTGAGACTGCCGCCGCCGCCGCCGCTCGGTGGCGATTGCTCGGTGCTTGATTTGATACTCACCGACATTTGTTTTGAGAGTGGATCCTGCTGTTTGCCGCTGGATGGCACTTTTTCCGGTGGACCCATCGGACTATCTTCCCGTTTACGCTTGCGTCGCTTTTCCAGCTTGTTTCCACCGCTTTTATTGTTATCCTCTGAGCCTCCGTTCTTGCCGCCGCCGCCGCCGCCGCCGCCGCTGCTGCCACCGCCGCCGCAACCACTGCTACTGCTTTTCCCACTGCTTTTCCGCTCGCTTCGCTGCGACTCGTCTGTCGACTGATTCAAGCCACCAGTCTTCGGCGAGGGCGCCGGCCCGGTGATTGGCGTGATGGTGATCGAGCTCGGCAAGTTAGTTTGCGACGGCGACGAAGCGATAGGAATGATCTCTATACCGGGCCTCCTTTCCAAACCCATGCCCGTCAGTACGGAGTTATAGTTGGTGGTGCTCGATTGATCCAGATTACCGCATGAAATCGGAGTAATACTTACTGACGGTGGCACCGGCAGAGCCTTGTTATTGTTACTGCTCGTTGGTGTATCGTCGACAAATATGTTCGTCGGACTTGACTTCTTCTCTTCGCCACCACTTCGGTTCTTCTTTGATTTTCGCGTCAACGAGGTGGACTCGCGTGTCTTCATCAACTCCTCAACATCCGGTTGCTGCTGCTGTTGATCAACACTAGTCTGTATCTCTGCGATCTCACTGTCTCTTTCGGAATTATCGAGATCGTAATCCGAGATACTCTTATCGGTACCAAGTATATCAGTAGCATCCAGATTCGAGAAATCTATACCACTCGCTAAACTAGTGGCCGAGGTCGGCGTGGATGTTCTAGTTTCGGATGTGAGATTCTCTCTACCGCCCGTAGGCGTTCCCAGTGGTGTCGAGCTCTCAGAGCTTGAACTCTCCAAGAGAATTTCCGCAGTATCACCGCTATCGCCTTTTCGTTTCGGGCTACGCCAGAGACCGTCCGAACCGGTTTTTCGCTTTCGTGTCTTCTTGCGCTCGTTCGAACCCGAATTACCTGTTAACGAGTTCTTTGCTTGCCCTAGCAACGCACCCAACTGGAGTGGGTTCAGCATAGAAGCAGTGGCGTTGTTTGTCGCAGTACCCATTGTCGTTGTCATTGTCGTATCGGATTGGCCGGAATAAGACGGAAAACCGATACTATTTTCCGTTCCGGAATCTAAAAAAGATTGCTGATGCAATTGTTGCTGTTGTTGTAATTGATGTAACGACGGCAATTGCTGCTGCTGCTGTTGCTGCTGCTGCTGCTGCGCTTGCCTACCATTGTTTAGACCGGGTTCTTGCTTCACTTTTGTCTCACTGTTCGTGAAGTCCGGCATGCTGGATGTAGTACCGTTCTGTCCAGTCTGATCTTTGCCACCGGGCCCGAGATTAAGATTGTAATTCCCGTTACCGCCGCCAGTCAAATTTCCACTACTGGTCAGATTATTCATCACCGCGGGCAATGAGTTGCCCTCCCAGATTATCAGCAAACTTCGCATTGTCAGCGGTATGCTGAGACAACGCTGTAACACCCGTCCACCTAATTCCGAGTTCTGTTCCGCAATCTGCGTCATACTCACACCATATTGCCGACACTTGAGCGCCGATATGTCTGTCAGATCTAACTCTGCCGTGGCCATCGTTTCTTCATACGGGTGTTCCACGCTCACACTGATACGTTGCCACGAAAGAGCACTCACTTCCAGTATAGTCGTATGTTCGGGATCTTGGCGCGCCATCGGTCGCACGCAACTCGCAATCAAACAGTTGAATAGCGCCTGCTGCCGAAGACATATCAGGATCTGCGGTACATGCGCGGGATGTGTGAAAGGAATGCTGCTTACCAGCACACCTTCCATATTCTTGTTCTCTGTCATGAAATAGCAATGCTGCTGATCAGGCAAGGTCTAAAATAATAAGAAAATAAAATGCATAATGCTTTTTTTTAATTTTCCGTTATATTGCAAAACATAGTTGAAATTAACTTACCACATATAAACCTCTGTTATTACGACAATCCAACTGACCATCGCTTGCGTGTTGTATTATTAAACTGAGTATTGGACTTGACGCGGATGTGTCACTCCACTCGAGTTCCGTGACTTTCTGTATTTTTTTCACGAGTTCCATGCAAATCGGCATTTTTTTGCCAAGTTTCAGCACAAAACAGGCAGGCAACATAGAGGAGTTTGTACTAGTCAGCGAAGCGTACGAAGGTGTATTTTTCCCTGTAGGACTCCTATTAACAGCTATGATACTAGATGTAGGTAATTTGTTACCCGTTGAACCCTCCATGCAAACAGTCACCGAGTAGCCAATCTTGCGTTTAATTATAATTTCAGGATTCAGAATGTCGGACGTTTCAGTCTCTTCATCAATCAAGTCGTACGGCGATACGAAATACGTCAATTTCATTGGATGACCGCCTCTTCTTCTTTCCAAGATTCCAACAGGACTCTTGTGAACTAGATTAAACGGTTCTTTCATGAATGTTTGCAACTGAGCCAAAACACCAAGATCAGTTTCAAGAGATTGCAAAGCGCTAAATGCTTTACATTTCACTTTCTTGTCGGCATTTAATTGGTATATCGATGACAGACCTTCTAGTTGCGTAGTGAAATCCACAAAATCTCCTCGTGAAAGCGCAGAAGCAAGCGCCTCACAGCTCTGTGTGTGTAATATTTAAATTTAATAAAATAATGCACCATAAAAAAAACTCATCCAAAATAATACTTACTTGTTGTTCACTTTTTCCTTCATGATGAATCTTCACATCTTTAACAAGGCCTGATGGTTCTAACATAACTTCGACAAAAAACATGTCAGAAGATATAAATATTTCTGTGCCTGGATTACCTGACATCATAAACTTTAATCTGTACAACAATAAAATATATAATAATTAATAAAGATTCTTAGGCTCCTTGAAAAATCTACGAAATATATAAGGTTATAAGAGACAATCGCAGGATATTTGTGCAAAAATATGCATGTATATATATGAATGCACATATATACATGTTCACAAGTAAATTTTTATAAGTGAGTTTTTGAATTGAGATTTCAATTCTTGAAATCATATAGGATGCTAGATTTGCATCACATATATGAAGGACCCCGAATACTATCCCCCAAACTAATTTAAAATATTCTGAAAAAACTCGTATTCGGGGTTCTTCATATATGTGATGCAAATCTAGCATCCTATATGATTTCAAGAATTGAAATCTCAATTCAAAAAGTCACTTGTAAAAATTTATTTGTGAACATATATATGCATTCATATATATATACACCTACGAGAGATATCACACCAATTTTGGGACACCCTGTGTGTGTGTGTGTGTGTGTGTGTGTACAAGGTCGGCGCTGATTGGCTTGATTTATTTAACAATTACTCCTTTATTATATGTAATAGAAAAAAATGGTTCAGGACTTTTCGACTCAGTTTTACTCCTTCTACCCGCCTACAAAGAGATGTCACCAATTCTGGGACATCCTGTATATATGAGGTAATTATATATTTACTAATATCATTAGTAATTATATATTTACTAATATCATTAGTAAATATATAATTTTTTAAATATTTACTAATATTACTATTTTTTTTATTATATATTTACTAATATCATTAGTAAATATATAATTTATTATAAAATAATTTGTAAACTTATATATATTTTACTGAATATATAAAATATATAAATAAAATATATAAGGTTATAAGAGCTGATCGCAAGATATTTGTGTGAAAATATGCATGTATATATATTCTCATACTCACCCTAATTGTCTTGATAAACTTTCTAGACGCTCTACCATAGACTGAAATGAAGTAACCTTGATAGAGTGTTGCAAAGTATCTAAACACTTCTGCAACTGATTTTTTTCTACACTATCAATTGCAAATCTCTTGTCCTGTTTGTAAAATATTGTATCTTCTTATAATTGGCTTGATCTAACTTTGTATTGTAAATTCATATACATTATAAAGAATACTCACCAACATAGCCATACGTACATTTTTGGCAGTTTCTACCAGAGGTTTAAATGTAGCAGCTTTGGAACGTAATTTTTCCATTGATAATTCCAATTGCCATTCTTTACTTTTGTCAGGAGCTGATTCTCCTCCTCTGGTAGAGCATTGCCCCCCTATAAAAAATTTTTAATAAACAATAAATCTTGAGAAATTGACTTACAAAATTCCTCTATAAAAACTACCACAAGTTTGATTAAACTGTACTTTTATATGCACAGGTTTATAAATTTCTGAAACTTATGTAGATCAAATCGAGATCACCAAAAGAAATCAAAAATACTCACCAAAGAGCTTCTGCCCATTGGTCGCGTCCATGTGGTTACTGTCAATGATTGCCACGAACAAAATCGCGCTTTTTTCGCGCAATGTGCTAATATCGCGGGTTCGGACGCTGCATTATGTTTTCTTAACCATTGCGGAACACACGTCAGTAAAAACGGAAGAACCGCGATACAACTCGCGAACGTGAATCACAACTGCAGTTGACTTAAAAGACGACACACCTCTGCACTTCTGTTTCACTTTATGGCTAGTCTACAATGAAGGTAGTAAGGCAGTATAGAGTAAGAGGGCGCCTTCCAGCTACGTACAGTCGGCGTCGATGGGTGCGTTCAGACCATATATATAATACTACCAGAGAAAAATCTGAGAGCGGCCATCCTATTGTAATTTTTTACGACGGTTTCAGCCGCTGGTTTTAGCCGTATTTCCACAAAAGTGGAACTCAAAGGCCGTTCTACATTAAATGCAAGTCGTTGATCTCGTGGAATTGACCAATTGCAGAGTCTAATCAGCCAATCGACCAACGTGATTGATCAGTTCCACGAGACCTGCGACTTGAGTTTCATGAAGAACGGCCTTTGAGTTCCACTTATGTGGAAATACGGCTAAAACCAGCGGTTGAAACCGTCGCAAGTAAACCCTTGCGCCGCCGTGTTACGCCGCCGCCGCCGACAAATTATCATCCGCCGATTCCGCCGCCGCCGAAAGAGAAAATTTTTGGCGAATCCGCCGCCGCCGCCGCCGAAAATTAATACGGCGCGCCGAAAAAAAGTAAAATGCTTTATGTGTTTTATATATATTGGTTGAAGTGTATTAAGACCGAAGCACAGACTTTTGCATAACGCATAACGCATAAGACATAAGAAAATCAACCAATCCAGCCTTCCATTTTTATCTCTACTTTTCGTTCTAGAAGGCTTTGATTGGTTGATTTTTTTATGTCTTAAGGGTCGTCTACAATGGAGAGTTTTAGACTGTAACAGTAAGAAACTGACAAATCACAATCGATTATTCTTCTGTACTTTGTTTGTGATTGGTCAATTTCTTACTATTACGGCCTACAACTCTCCATTGTAGACGGCTCTTAAGCCTATGTCACACTACCGTTTGGGATTGAGATTGGATTGAAATTTGACCAATCAGAAGAAAGAAAACCAATCTTAAGTTTAGTGATCTTCGCTCTGATTGGCCAAATTGCAATCCAATCTCAATCCAAATCCGTAGTGTGACATAGGCTTTAAAGGCAGCTTAAAGGCCATTCTACATAAGACGTAGACACAAGTCGCAGGCAGCTAATTTCGCGGAATTGACCATTCACGTTTGTCAAATCAGCCAATTGACTTACGTGATTGGTCAATTCTGCGAGATCAGCGTCCTGCGACCTGCGTCTGCGTTTTATGTAGATAGACCTTAAAGGGCCGTCTACAATGGAGAGTTCTAGGCCGTAATAGTAAGAAATTGACCAATCACAGACAAAGTACAGAAGAATAATCGATTGTAATTTGTCAATTTCTTACTGTTACGGCCTACAACTCTCCATTGTAGACGACCCTTTACACGTGAAAAAATTTTAGCCGTAACCGTAAGGTCGTAAGCAATTTAACCAACTACAGACCAGTATTATCTTACATTAGTTGGAATGCTGGCCAGCGATTGGTCGATTTCCTTACGACCTTGCGACTACGTCTAAATTTTTGCTACGTGCAATGGCCTTTAGCTGGTACGTAGCAGAGTAATATCGAGGATACAATAAAAAGTAATTTCACAAAATTTTATAAAACAAACTATGCTTTCATTAATTTATACTAAGATTAAATTTACTTAAACTTACAATTATGTAAAATTATCAGGCAGTTTTAACATCATAAATTGAAAACTTTTACTTATAATTATTTAACCTTTATTTACGAGTTTTATTTTTACAGCAAAATTAACAGAATGTTATTTAGATTATTTTAATATTCACAAAGCGATTAAAATTTTTAGATAAGAAGTACGCGAGAATTTACGCGTAGAATTTACGCGAGTAAATCTAATTTTTATAAGAACCCAGCAAACAATTTGGTTGCGAGATGTCGCAGTTTTGTCGCCAACCGTCGGCGAAATTAGTAGACCAAATCCATATTCATCTGTGTCCTCATTAGGATATGGTTTGGCGACCATATCTGTCAAACATGTGAAATGTCAAAATGAGACCAAAATCATAACAAGTCTGCCACTAGCAAAGCAAAGCCAAAGTAACGCACCAAATCCAGAACAGATTTGGTGATCGTTTGTTGGCGCCAAAATCGCGCCAAATACACATCATATCTGTTACCAGCACTGTTAACAAAACAGTAGCAAGTACAGACCAAATTTGTCGTCAAAAACGTCGACAGATTGCTACCAAACGCAGATCAGATCTGTCACCTAGAATCCAAGTGGAATTACTACAAAAGAAAAGAAAATCAGTGGTATATCGCCTTATCGGAAAGGAAGTAATTCGAGATTTCACTCGAATTAATTTCTAGAAGCCTGATTCAGCTCGTTGATCAACCGATGAACTCCATTGAAAGAGACCGAATCTGAAAAAATCCTAAAATGTGATAGCGGGATTTGAACTCGAGACCCTCCATATTCGCAACCCCTGCACTCAGTCCGCGAGACCACTTGTGTTCCTTATTAACATATAATTATTTTTATCTATTTATTCTCAAGCTATCCTACATTTCATTTATTATTTATTTAAATTATTATTTTACTAAAAATGTTGCACAATACAATGTACCTGCAACAATAAATAAAAATACTTTTCTTATTATTCTTAAATATAATTTAAAGTACATTTTTACAACGCAAATAAATGTTTTGTTAATATATGCTGATACTTGAACAAACAAAGTGTTTTTTAATGAATTT